ATTATTTATATGATATTTTTCATCCGACAACATCAAAACTCTATCAACTAATCCAATAATAATGCCTTTTTTGTGATGTCGGGTTAGAAAAATAATTGAGGTATCTGCCAGAATAGCTTTGTTTATGATATCAATCAAACTCAAACGAATCACTCTTCTTAATGATTGTAATATGTAAAAAGTTCAAAATATTACCTCCGATTTCTATTGTATATTGTAATTTTGGATGAAAAGAATTAAAACACTCTAACACAAGTTCTGTCTTTGTAACCGGAACCGCAGTACAAATATCATCAACGATAATAAATCGTGACAAAGCGCTTCGTTCTAATCTTTGCATCACCAGATCAGCAATGACGGGCGACAATGGAGAACCCATGAGTACGCCAAAGTTCTGTTTATACATCCTATTATCAAACATGAAATAAGTCGAATTTAAAATAAACCTTACTCCTAGTATAAATTCTTTTTTCGGTGCATTTCTTAGTAATATGTAACCAATTATCATTAATGCAATCTATTGCTATGTCTATGGGGATGTTGGCAAAGAGTGATGTAACATCTAACGAAACCAACTTATCCTCATCATTAAGCTTGATTTTCCTAAGTTTATCAACCAATTAGAAACTATTCTTAATATAGCTATTAATATAGCTACCGTTTCTATTATGATGTTGTGTATGACGTTAGCAAAATTATAAAGAGAGCTACCAATTGTTGAAACGATTATTCTAAAAAGACATTCCGATTTGTATATCTTAGGCAGCGCATACGCTCTCGGCAATCGTCTATCACTGCAGTATAAATGTCTATATTTAATATTATCTATATATCCGCGATCCCTCCACCTCGTTAACATCGCCCTTAAAGATTTCATAAGTTTATTCGTAGGATCTTTTTCTATTGGTGTATATATATCATTGTTATTTTAACATCTCTTTTATTGAGTCATCTAAAAAGTATCCGCGGTTTTTTGTCACTAGATGTGTGTTGATGGTCATATATCTAGTGACAAAGTACCGCGGATACTTTTTAGATGACCCAATACTTTTGAAAAATATATATCTTTATCCAACGCGACCGTGACATTCTCTTTATCTGCTCGCGTAAATAAGATGTTCGGATGTAAAATCATAAATTCTTTAGTGTTCTAAAATTCTTTTTTCAATCTCGATAATTTACTTTCATTATTGGTTGTAAAAATAGAGCTGTTAACCAAATTGTTTAAAATCGGTATAGAGTGATTGGTGATTTCAATTTTTTTATTTATCGGAAATTTATGTGTTATGTTCAATGTTCTTAATGCATTCTATTAATAATCTACCTTTATTTTTGTTAGGAAATGCGAAATTATCTCTTAATTGTAAAAAACACTGAACATTATGTGAAATCATAACAAAAGACAGATTTAAAAACCATATGGTAATAAATATTTATTTCTAATAATAGAGAACGCGAGTGGTAATACATGGTTGGAAAAAGCACCAGAGTGTATGATATTCAATCGAACTGTCTCTTTAATAATGTGAGCATTAGAGAATATATTATAACAATATTATTATTATGAGAACTGGTGGTCTGCACATTAAGTTCCGCGGTCGTCTCAGGTGTGTCTTTATTATATTTACTATTAACCACACAATGCTCAATAGGTCTAATGCTGTTAATCAAGATGTTTTTATGTTTTTGTAATAACCAATACATTTTTGCTTCTAACCTATTCTTCTCACGAACAAAATAGAAAAAACATGATTTCTCCTGTGTGTTAAGAAAATCATCACACACATTACCCGGCAAAAAATATGTCAGACTATTGATGAGATGGAACAATTGTGCCCTTAGGACATGTGTATTGATGTGCGCATCACTACTCATAGATTCATGGTAATTTTAACATTCAGTCGAACAGCTGATTGGGAACAATTTCCATCGGTCAACGTATGATCCATCGGAGATGGTTAACTTACTTACCTTTATTCTTATTTTTACTTGATTTATCGTTTCATTTTACTGCGGGTTACGATTGCGATTTTAATAAATCTGAAGATGGTGGTGGAGGGATCAAGAAGGCGAAACATGTTATTTTTACATAATAGAAACTAACGTGGTTTATAAATCAAAACTTATGAAAAGAAGAGCATAAAAACCACAGCATAAGATGTTATTTATGATATTTAATTATCATTAATAAAACATTAGACGTTTCGGCCATAATCTGATATTTGTAATTTTGCGTTTTAAAAATATTGTGAATTTACTGAAGATGGCCAGATTGTGACCGAAACGTCTAATGTTTTATTAATGATAATTAAATATCATAAATAACATCTTATGCTGTGGTTTTTATGCTCTTCTTTTCATAAGTTCATGTTATTTTTATTGTTGTAGATATTTTATATTTTATAAGATATTTAATATTTTACATTATCAATTTATTTTTAGTATAATGATATCGAGAATAAGTATTAAAAAATTGACGTGTGTTTATATGTATTAAAGTTTTCCTGTTTTTGACTCTTATATGCCCTTTACTCAATTTTATTTTTATCTGATAACAAAAGTCTTTAGATATTTTTGTTGCATCACATGACCCTGGTCTCTTCTGATTGGACATAGGCATCAAAGCTCTATAGAGTCATGGTAGGGGTATGCCGTTTAGTTTAAATGGCTGCAAATACGCAATATGCTTATCACCTTGTGCAATTCCTCCTTAATTTTACAATTGATAAGGTCTTTGTAACTGATACATATTATTAATCTTGGAAATATATATAACTTTCTCTATTGTACATATACATGAAATAAAACGAATTTTTACATTTTAGATATCTGAACAGGGTTTATGTATATTATAAAATAGCTACCAGTGCTCCAAGATGCAAAAACTAATAAAGAAGAATATTTGTATGCACGCTTTGATACTATCCTCACACAACTGATTTTGGAGATTTCCAATCAGAAATTCCGACAGCATTATTCTATTTTTGTCTCAACTTCGAATTTTGAGCAAATATTATGTTATGTATTAGCAACATCCTTTTTTATTTAAATTGCATCTGAGAGCACTATACCTGGCAGGCATTTCATAATATGCACAATCCTGATATCTGAAATGTAAAAATTTGTAGTTTTATTTCATGTATATATATGTACAATAGAGGAAAATATATACTTCCAAGATTAATAATATGTATCACTTACAAAAACCTTATCAATCTTGAAATTAAGGAGAAAATTGCAGCACAAAGTGACAAGCGTACAACTTTTGCAGTATATTTTTGCAACGATTGATACTAGTTGTGCCAATGTTGTAAAAAAACGCATCTATCTTCGCGACATTCCAATATGCTGTAACGTTTAAATTAAATTTATGTATTTCGGATATCTATCATATTAAGGCTCAATTCCACAACTCACAGTTAACTCTTAACCGAGGTTTCGCTTAAAACTTATTTCTCATCTCTATCTTTCAATTCTAGAATTGGAAAGAGACAATGAATAAGTTAAACCCCTCGGTCAAGAGTTATCCATAAGTTGTGGACCTAAATAAATAGATATGTTATTTTTTTTTATTTCTTACGTTTTTTTCCTAACTATATAAGGTTCCCAATCCGCATTGCCATAAGATATTTTGTTCTGCGTGATAATATTTGTAAAGTAAATAATGGTCGTGTTCAGCAGACTCTACTGATGCGGAGCGGATCTCAACGGAGTACTCGATGAGCCCTAACGAAAATTGGGTGAAAAAGTGATTGGATCAATGGTTTTCGAGATATGAGACATTTGAACTGTATCATTGAAAATTTTCTTAGTCTAACGTCAAAAATTTTTTGAGAGTACTGAATAGTTCCGATTGGACAGTTCTCGACGAGCTCTGTCAGAAAGTATAAGGTGATATAACCAACGATTTTCAAGAAACAGGGCAGTTGAACTCTATCATTGAAAATTTTCTAAGTCCGATGTCGAAAAATTTTTAAAGTGTTTCAGTAGTTCTGAATAGAGTTCTAGGCAGTTCTCGACGAGTTCTATCGAAAAGTATTAAGTGAAAAAGCGATTGGATAGCTATACATGAAGATGTGCTTTTGCAACCAATTTTTCAAGTTTTCTTTTAGGTACATATCTCTTTTTTTATTGGGTCTGTGTTGATTTTAATCGCTGAGAACTCTTCGAAATAAATAGAATGACAATTAACATGTAACAAAACTACTGTATAAATATTATAACTTTTTTTTCAAAAATTTTGTATATTTTTATAAATTTTGTTAAGTATCAAAATTGTTTTTTATGTATCAGGAACTCTAGATATTCACAAAATAAAGTTGTTAAGCTGCTCAGAACTATTCAATCTTGATAAGAAGTTAGCACTCCACTTAAAAAAATTGTTTAAAAATTGTTATTAAACGATCTCGCGAATCTCGCGTTAAAAAATACAGAGAATTTTTCGTCTTGTTGAAAGGAAGCAGGAACTCTAATTAGAATTATTGTATTCAAAAATTGATTTTTCAAAAATTTTTAATTTTTTTTTATTTTACAAAAATTTTTTTTATGCATTAGGAAAGTATCTCTTTCAGAAATCACTCTTAAGTATTTATGAAATGAAGCTATTGGGCCACTCAGAACTATTCAAACTGGATTTTTGATAAGAAGTTAGTATCCCATTTTTTAAAAATTATTAAAAAATAGTTATTAAGCGGAACTCTTGTTATAAATTATGTAGAATTTTTCGTCTCGTCAAAAGGAAACGGCAACTCTAATCAGAACTCCTGAACTATAGTTGGGATGCTAACTTCATATACCTGCCTCAGAAATAATAAGAATTGAAAAAATATAGGTATATAATATTATTTGCTGTGTTCTAATTTATGCAACTGTAACGAAATCAAGTTTACAGTACATAAAATGAACAAATACGTTTACATGAAATTGTGAATACATAATACGAGCTATGAAAGATATCGGCGTTCTGACGATTTGTGTCACGCACTCTGTCTGCTTTTCAGGTACGGTGGCCCGGATTCGTATCAGGTGACAGAGAAATTTAACATTGATTGGGGCACGTATCTTGTAACAAACAAAAGTATTATATATGCTGCCATTGACGGTCGCGGCTCCGGATTAATGGGTAACGACATGCTGTTCGCCGGATATCGACGTCTCGGCACTGTCGAAATTGTTGATCAGATCAATGTTACCAGGTAAGCTTACTGTAAAATAATTCTGATTATGAATTTTTATTTTCCAAAAAATTATTTAATATTGATTAGAAGTTAAAGTAATTAAATCTTCATTAGAATCAATTCTACTAAACAATAATTTTCTATTTTCAAATCAGAAGTTTCATCAAAAGTGAAATTTACTTCTAATAAATAAAATCTTGAATCCTAATAAGAAAACATAGAGAGAAGTGCCTTCTTCTGATTTTGATGAGTTTTAATATGTTATAGTCTAAACTAAAATAAAGAATACATATTTTTTACGCGCACTTAGGAAGTGTGACCTTTTGAAAAAAATCAATTAGTTTCTTTTGAAGCGAATATCATTGAAACGAATTCGATATGAGATCGAAAAATTTTTAAAATAAAAGTCAAATAGTTTCAAGAATACTTTATTAATAGTAAAAAAAAAGTTCAATCATTGTTATAAAATACTCTTGGAACCATTTAACTTTTATGGAAACTTCGACAATATTATGTTCTTTCTTCCCGGGTTTATGTTTACAAAGTGTTTTACTCTTTATTTACATTTCATTGTTTCATATGTTGCTTACACTTCTGCTACTCTCACTTACATTCCTTCTAGTCTTACGCTTTATTTTCGTAAAGGTTTGAAAAAAACAAACTGATTTTTGTCAAAGGAGAATTTTATCTCTTAAAAGTGCATATAGGTCTGTGTAAAAAAAATATCTTTTATTTTATTCCAAACTAAAGTATATTAAAGCTCATTAAAGTTAGAAAGGAACATCTCTCTGCATTTCTGTGTAAATAAATTTATTTTATTAAATCAGAAAAACGAATTCTCCGCTAAACCTGTTTAACGTATCTTCCTCAGTTTTTTTTTGAAGAAAAATCAAATTTATAGCAAGCATAATCATATTCCATATGCACGTAGAGTATAAAACGCATATTACATTTACATCACGTTTACACATAGAAGATGCGCATTATATCCTTAATCCGAAATTGCTCTGACACCGCCGAGATAATTCTTGACGGTGATGTTAACGAACGAACGCAGACCATCGCAGGCAGAATCTGAGGCCAAACGTGCTCGTCCCCTAGAAGTATTACGAACAAAGTTTTGCTTTAGGACAAACCTAATTACAGACGAGGCCTCAAAGTGACTTATCATGACACGATCGGAGTAATTTGCTAAGCTCTAAGTTAACTAATCTAAGTCCGGCTCCCCCGACGCTCCGAGGACGTGTTTAACGTGTAACGAAGTTCTTTTCACGGCGTAGGCACCTGAGAGAGATAGAGAGGGAAAGAAAGAGCACCGCTACCGCCGCGTTAACAAGAAGAAAATTGCTTGTACTTTTATCTGAATTTATCGGCTGAGCCTCTCCACTGCTGTCGAGTAGCGAGTACGAAGAAGAGCTGCGTTTTCCTCTCGTATTTCCACTTAGCTGTCAGGAGTAATTTATCTGATGGCAGGAAAAGAGAGAGAAAGAGAGAGAGGGGGGAGGGGGAGAGAGGGAGAGGGCCATAGGAGGGAGAGGGGCAGGAAAAGAGGGGAGGGAGAAGAGTGGCGGGAGAGAGGGAGAAGAAAAGAGAGGAAGAAGAGGGAACGGACGATGGGAGGGAGAGGGATAGAGGGAGAGAGTTCGCCACTTATATGATCGTCCACCTTTAAACTGAAACATCAAACTTCCAATGAATAATGTCTGATTCTACGCTGGTGGTGAGATTATATTTTACCATTTAAGCGCCGTGACCGTTGCAAGCTTAACAGCACGCACAGAGCGGCGCGGGTGCGGCGGTTCCTCAATTTCACGTGGAATCTCCCGAATAAAATTTAGTAAGTAGCAACAAGAAATTAGCGCAGTGTATAAAATAAATGTTATTGAATTAACAGATAAACGATATTGTAAACGAAATGCAATCACACGATAAATATAACAGTGATTTTCTTTTCATTTCGCCAAAATTCTATCTTCGTCACTCTCAGAACTCTGCTATCATTTTTCTTTTAACAATCGGATTTCTTTTCGAATAATTATTGTATATTAAAGTAACAACACTAGGAATATTGCAACAGAATTATTTTCTCATTGTGCGTTTCCAAACGTTTTAATAACAATATTTTTTGCCCAGCGAACCATTTTTTTTTAAATCTTAAAAATTATTTCGTAAAGAAAGACAAAGAGACCGCATTGTATTTTTTTGTATTACAACACAGATTACAATGCAAATAAAAAAAATTAGTTATACTTTTATTTAATTTATTATAAACAAAGATTTCTTTTTCTCGTAAAAAAAGTTGGAACTTTATTTTCTTCTTTTATTATTATTGTAATAAGAGCTTTACTTTTCAAAGTATCGATCTATAAGTACATAATCGATCTATAAGTACTAAAGTACATAGGTAGAAAAATGTATTGATCGAAGAACACTTAGGAACACTTAGGAAGAACATTTTTTGTCTTAAAAAATTTAGTGGCCCGTTTTTTTTGCACACTAAATTTTTGCACAAATTTTTAATATTTTTTAATAGCAATAACTCAGGGAAAAAAACATTATAGTGAGATGTTTAAAAAAGCCTTTTAAAGTTTAAAATCTCTACTTTCAAAATCGATAATTGATATTTCAATCTGACTAATCTTATATGGATCTATACGGACCCAAATGAATACCCGTCAAACGTGACAATTTTGTAAAAATTTTACAAATATCTATGGCGTGAAGTATCGCACAAAAATGCGATTTATAGCAATCGAAAGTATAAATATATATAAATATAAATATAAATCTTTACCTTTAATTTTTTTATAGATCTGTATGATTTTTTTTTATCAAGTTATTCAACAACGAAGCAAAAAGAGTTCTTTTTGTTTCGTCGTTTTTTTTGCGTATGAGTGAACATAAGAGTTAATAATTCTTGCTTCTGCAAGTCTCTGCAGATCCTCTATAAAGAAATTAAAAAATCATTATTTACGAATAATGTCTATAATTCTCATTTGTGAATTCTTTTTTTATAAAGTCAAATTACATGTTTATTATAAAAAAATTAATTGTTTTTATTGAAATAATTATTTAGAAATATTATATAATATATAAATAATTTAATAATAATTTAACTTTAAAAAAATAATTTAATAATTTTTGCATATTATTAGTTTAAAATATCTTATTCAATGACGTATTATTTCATTAATTTAATCGTAAGAAGATAAAGCATCTTTTTCAAATTTTATTGTTAATTATAATTTTATATTTTTTTTTTGAAAAAATACTGTTATTTCTAAAATTTTACTAATAAAGATTATTTTACAAGAAATTTAATTTTCAATGAAAAAATTGAAAATTTAATTTTCGATCGCCTATATTCAGATCAGTACCACTGTGTGCCCTAGATGGTACTGTAACTTTCAAACATCATAAACTCAAAAAGTACTCAAAAAGTAATAAAAAATAATATAGTATTTTGCAAAGTTCTCGACATCGGCTATTAGATTTTGGAATCAAAAGTAAGATTTTCCGTTTTAAAAAATCGATATGACCTTGATCTGATCTTTTGGAGATCACCTAAAGTTAAATTGATAAGATTAGTAAATAGATCTTTCTGAACCTTACAACTTTTGTTTGAACAATTTTTCGCAATAATGTATTTCCAAAGTAAAATTTGTAACGCTTTATTTTGAGCCATCCATATAAGATACCTGAGCTGAATAGAGTCCAACACTAAATAAGGCTCACTTGTAAATTTATTACTTTAAACTCGCTTTATGCTTACTATGTACGCAAGATATGTCATAGGAAGTAAATAAAAAGAGATTAAAGGATTGGAATCGGTAGCAATACGTTTCTTTAACAATAAAAATCTATGTGTATAATGCATTTTTATAATAATTCGCTGCAAAGTTTATTACATAATGTTTCATAATTTATTATAATTTATTATAATATTATTCAACTTCCTAGCTATGAAAAATAACAAATCATTTTTTTGAAATGAATATAAATATTCTTTTTGAACAATGTACTTATAAAATAAGGCCCACTTATATGATTATTTAATAGCTATTATTATTTGTTTATTATGTGTGGTGTTTACATTAGAAAATAATGATTTTCAATGCTGCTATCTTTTACGAAGCCAAAATTGCACTTAAATTGCTAGAAATTCCCAAAGATTAGAGAGTTAATTACAAACAAAATTAGATAATTTTAATATTTGAGAGTAGATTAAGTCCCAAGGAATATTCTTTCTGATTAAGGAGATGCTGGAGCGAAGGCTGAAGTTAATCAAGATCGATATTGCAGGTATTTATTTACAATGTATAAGATGCTTATGCCCTCTGAGTTAATATGATCATGCAGGAAATTCGATCGATTAATTATCGATATTTTTATTCCGTTTCCTACATTACCATCTTAGCAGGGACGTGTATTAGGGTCGGTTCCACAAATTATAAAATTTATTTTGGAAAATTTTCCAATTTTAAAATTGAGAAAAAGATAAACCGTAATTGAAGTTAATCTTATATTTGTAGAATTGGAACTTAGAAATACAGTTGTATTATGTACATATGCAGTGTAGGCCATGTTCCAATATATATCACCAGTATCAAAAATCTGTAATATAAAGTACAGATTTTTAACTTTAATCGATACATTATATCGATACGAAGCCGTAATAGCACTTTTACCTTACGTCCAATGCCATTTTAAGTAATAATAATATACTATCAATAAATTGCACATACATAATGTAAATCTTTTTCATGAATATCCATATATATATATATATATATATA